CAACTATGCGCACCGCGCGCTCGGCAGCTACAATGTACGGGTCGTGTTTGTCCTGAATATTGAGACCGTACGTAATGTGCAAAATTTGCTGCCCGGCGAAGCTTTGGGATGTTCAGCTCATAGCTATCATGCAGAAAGGGGCTACTTCACGTACAACTTGATGCAACTTCGCAAGTCTTCCGGCGTGTCCATGAGGTTACGGAGAAGCTTGAGTGTCGCTTTGGTTTTCGACGGCCGGTAGCGCAGGATCGCTTGCTGGTGAAATCCTTGAGAGGCCGCCTTCCTAGTGTCGCGCCAATGAGAATCGTATCGCGCGACTCCCATATTCCAATCAAATTTAACCCTAAGCGCGGATCAGCAAGATTGCTAGTTTGCCCGGCCGAGTAACCTACAGCTCTCTCATCATAGTAAGACCTGTATTCGGCCTGAGTCAGTTAGCGATGTGTCTGCGGGGAGGGGCAGAACGTGACACACCTATCAGAATAGATGGCGGATCGAGTCTCCAAGAGTCCAGTCGCAACTTTGAGTGTGTTCGCTATGACAATGTTGTTCCCCAGTATATTCACGCCTACTATGTCGGATTCTATTTGGCAATGAGCACCTGGAAAAGGCGACGAGGCATAGTAGAACTTACTATAGATTTCGCTCCACTGTCTGTATGCGCTACTTACGGGTTCTTCGATGGTACGCAGGTAGCCGACAATTGGCCAGCCGCGAGGTCCAGGGAGCTTCGCAAGCCCTCGGGCACCTGTAGTGCCCACGAAAGTGCGGAAAACTCTCAGTAGAATGTAGGCGAGGCATCCAACGCAGAGCGCGGTGCAAGTCGCAGGTGTTATGCTCTCCATGGTCGTTGTGACAAGTTGAATAAGCCCATTTGAACGAGGTGGGGCAGTATTTAACAAGGTAGTAGGCGTCAGCGTATGTCCGGCGACACGGAGAGAAGACCGTTCGCTGCATGAGCGCGCTAGCGCAGTTTCGATCCGTCGGTACCACCGGATGCTGACTCGCTAGGGGCCAAGGCAAGCAATGATGAGAAATACCATGTCGGAGCGCGGGGACGCGCTACGTTGTCGTCGCCGAAGCTCGACACGAAGCGACTCAGGCAATGCCGGTGCCTATGTACCGGCCGAACAAAACGGCACGTATAGATAGCGTGAGTGTCGCCCCCAATTGCATGAGAGTTGCTGTTGAACAAAAGTGGAAGAGTTTGGAAGAGGCTCAGTAAATAGGCACGATTTGGTAGGCAAGGAGCAAGCCTGAGAACGAGAACGAACGGTTGCGTACGTGCATAGCCGCGTACGAATGCTCAGTAGCACTGTTCGTGCAACTTCGTGCAAGTCCGTGTACGTCCGATCATGCACGAAAGCTCACTGCAAAAGTGCACCAGCAGAAAGCTGCACGACCGATACCGTGTAGACGCCCTACGATTTCGGAAGGTGAGCTCGCAATTCGAGTCATAGTTGAAAATTTATGATTAAGCGCGCGTTAGCCCGCTTGCTCGCAGGCGGACTAAAACGACCGAACGCGCACAAGGAATCCACATTGCTCCCTTTTATTCAGACTGAGTGTTCTCGGCCAACGTCTCAGCTGCAGCTAGCTTCCAATGCTAGTTTGCACAAAAAATAAACCGCGCCACACAAGTTTCAATCCCGCGCTCATAAACATAAGTAATGCCGCTAAACATGTTCAGCTCCGCCGTCTCGCCCGCAGACAAAAGTTTTCTCGCATAAGCAGTCACTTTACAATTACAGCAGGTATAAAATGTGATTATAAAAGAGACTATCGTAAGATGAGACTGTACCCGCATGCACAGGTCGTCTTCTACAGCTATTCCAAGAACGATAGACGTCCCCCAGCAAATCTTCAGAACTCGGGGTTCGAAAACTCCGCAGGCGCTAGAGCGAGCGAAGGAGACGCGTCCGCCGCGTTTGGTAATCCGCCATCACCTGAGATACCTTGACCCGCCTGACACTCCTCCGCCCTGCATTTCGCAATCACTCACGGTCACAGTTGTACTGCAACAGGGAGCTGCCAGCTTGTTGACGCGCGTGCGATCAGTGATTTGCTTGCTGTAGATGGAATTTCTGTGATGGCCACCAGAGGACCTCGAATACCTCGTTACCTTCAGCGTGACTTGGTGCAACCAGCTGTATATATATACACACAACACGCCCTTCTACACCGTGACTGGCAAGTGATGTCCTTCGCCTGTGCAACTACGCACTTGGGGCCCTCTCTTCACTGATCTCACGGTGTTAATGAGTTGTGCGCACCACTCTGTAGCTCAATCCTAATTTTATTCATTGCTGAGAAGTCTGGAGCACAAGGCGAGCATCTGCGCCCAGGCGTTGCCTCTTTCTAGGTTTTGAAATATTATCTATCTCTTCTTCCTTGCTACCTTCTTGAGTATTCTGCTTGTTCTCTTGAGCACACTTCGACACACCCCATCCACCTGGACCGTTGCTTCCTTTATATGCACTCTTTTGCATCCCAGGTTTATATCTTCCAATGCTATCCTTCCGAGCATGCTCACGTGCTGCAAACGTCGGTGGTACAGCTGGACTATTCGGGCATACAATGATCCTACGTGACCAGAACACAGTTTAGCTATGTTAAATTAGACATGGACAATATACGTACAGAGGATTCTTTTTTCCTGCACCTTGACGGTAGACTCTTCGTGCGACTGCACAGTACTCCAGGGGGCCGATAGCAACCTTGCGTGTCTTGTTGACGATATAGTGGAAAAGCTCTGAGGTTCTGTTGTTCCCTGTAATCTTGTTGAGGCACAGACTGTTCCTTGGGTTAGCAGGATGTTTGATATAAGATATCTCCACTTACTTTGTAGTATGTCTGTCTCGACTTCCAATATTCTCTGGATAATTTGGGATAATTGTCCACAGCTGCTTCTTTGTTGAATTTTCTCCACGGTAAAGACGTGAGAGAACAGAGGCCTTTTGTAATTTGGTCTTGTCCACAAATAATGTGGCCTCATAGATGGGCAGATCGAGATGTGTCTCTGCTGTCAGAGAGATACCTCCAGAACAACTTAGTAGCCATCTGTATCGACAGACAATCAGAAATATACTTACCTTTAGTGCATAACACACTGGATAATGGATCCTCCAAGTCAGGTGCTGTATCACCTAGTTTAGACCATAATTCCTGTCCAAATACAAGTCCACCAAGGTTGTTCTCTCTTCTCTCAAGAGTGTTTCTGAGGTATGTTGGTTCAAACACATCGTACAGCCCAACAGCGGGAGACCGCACAAACAGTTGCCCTTGACATGCTCCAAGCAAATCTAATGTATCCTGTGGTATGGAAAATGAGCTAACTGTAACAATAGAGGAGACTCGGTCTATACGCACCACATAGGTTGATACAAGCTCTCGCATACATTCAGACATGAACGTTTGGTGTTTTGCATAGATGTGAAGCCAGTACGAGTACTTCATATGCTGCTGATTGTCTACAGCAATGATGTACCCATCAAAGTAGGGTTGCAGAAATTTTCTTTGTGCATTTCTATAAGCTTAACATCCATCATAGAGACAGGCTCGCCACATACTCAAGCTCCAAGTGGGCACGGCAAGCAAATACCCAAAAGGCATCACAAAACCTGGCCATTCGTGAAGGAGATGACAGAAACTCCCGCTCTGTTATAAACACAGGGATACCTGCGAGAGTAGCAGTGTGAGCCAATTCAGTAGAGGCAACGACCCATCTGTACCTGCAAGATAGAACACTTCTGAGCTGGTGTATACTCCAAAGCCGCCAATAACTTCATTGGCTCCGCGCAGGGCGTTGATGGCCAAACTGGAGCAATCATATTCTTTCTCTAGCCTAGACACGACCCACACTCCGAATCCTGCTAAGAAACGGCCGTAGTCCTGGTAGACATTGATATGTTGTTTAGGCAGATCATCTCTGCCTGCGGCCCAGTGTGGCTAGAGGTAAGGAAATTATGATTTTTATAACACAACCCAGTAGAGTATTCCACGCACCGTAAAGATGTTATCTGCTGTCAAAAATGCCAGAATATAGTCTCCAAAATCCAAGGCCATGCCAACCTTGAATACTCGATCCTAGATGTTCTGGATAAGGCTGGCTTTGGGGAAGAGTGGAGAAAGTAACAAACAGAGCTGTTGACTTGGCAAATTTCATCGTCCCACTATGAACGAGTATATGGCTGGCACATGACATGCGTGTGCAACTGGATCTATCATGAGAAAATATGTAAAAAGGCTCACTTTACCCAAGCCCAATGCAAACTTTACCTGAAGGAACTGCTTTCCCAGGTCCAGGATCACAGTACGAGGTGTCGCATGAATGTCACGAAGCCAAAGGGTTGTCAGTGGCTCGAGCACATCAGGATCTTCTTGCATTGGCAAGGAGGAGGCCTTCTTCCTCTTTTGGTGCGCAGTCTTCGCAGTCTTCTTGGTCTCTTTAACGTCCTTGCCGGTTTGTGTTGGTCCCAGCCATGTAGACCATGGTGCAGGGGGATAGACCTCCTGCTGTGCACTGCACAATCCCCTTGAACATCATCGGTCAGGTGTAAGAGTGAACACCATTCCATCATGTTCTCTAGAGCCTTTCTTAGCTTTGGCTCTTTCTTTCTCTGTAGCATCGATCCAGATGGCTTGAAGGGCCAGGTGCGAGCCATCCGGGTTAACTCCGTGAAATCAACGTTGAATGGTGATGGTAGCAGCAAGAAGTTTGCGGTACTCCGGCATACTCAATGAAGGAAAATGTAGAAGTGTAGCAACAAAAGTGGAAAAAAAGTGAACAAGATCGCGTCTCAAACAAACCAAACACGCTACTCGACGCGTTATTCGACGCGCTACCTGATGCGATACCTGACGCGCTGCTGTTAGCGTGTTCCGCGTCTAAGTGCAAGGCATCCAAGGTACGAAGAATGTCGTGTTTACATGCCCAAAACCCACGAGCGTCGCACAATTTTTGAGTCTGATGTACTTGAAGGTATCTATATCAGTTATATATCTTCCTTTATGCTTAGAGAATTACCCCCCTCCCGCTATGCTGCTGGAAAGCCGTTCGATTCTTGGGCGCTTCTCATCGTCCAAAAGTGGTATCTCGACCAGTGCCTCTCGTCACTCATTTATCTCCCTACCGCAACTACCTTCTATCGCAGCCGTAACACTGATGGTACAGCCTTCAAGAACTTTCCAACTTAATGTCAATCAAGCAGAGACACGGTATCAATGAAGCGGAGACGCTGTGGGACCTGTCTGGCTAGAGGGCAAAGGTATGTCACTAGCTCCTGTACCATCTCCGTATGCTTATCGTGTCATGTCCATGCAAAGATATCGCCCCACACCTTCCCCTGACTATCCAGACCAAGACAAACACACCCAGATCCCAGCACAAACTTCCTGCCGAGCTACTCGTGGTCCCTGCCCTTTCTTGATGTACTGTTCCGCCCCCACCATC